ACTTCCGTAGTGATACTGCCTCGGAAACCCAAGGAGGGATCGCTATGAGTCGGGTCCGACTCGACGGCACATAACAACAACAACTCACTGCACAGATAGGAGACCCAGAGCTGAGTAAGCACTGACTACCAAGCTTGTCCCATGACTGACCCCAAAGCTATTACCCTATAAACCCACTCAGCTATAAAGCCGGTTCAGTCCACCTTGGAACACACTAGCAACAGGAGAAGCCCCCACGAGATCCCGGTGGGCTTGGCAATCTGGGGTTTAGGAAACCCCACACAGAAGCAGATGGGAACTGGTGAGCAGGCCTGAGCCAGTAGTGACTGTGTCCATGGCCCAGCCCTGGCAAATACCCTGGTGTCTGACACGCCTCCTGGGCAGCTCTGCTGAGGGCTCGCGAGGCTGGGACTCCTGTCTGGGAAACCCCTCCGTCACAGGGTGGTTTGCGGTGGCTGGGCGTTGGTCACACTGGTCCTGACAAGAAAACCAGAATTAGTACCTCTGGACTGAGCCATCCCTGGAGGAGAGTGTGGTGAGAGGATAGAAGTTAACAGCGAGTTGTGAGCACTCTTTCCCTCCCTGGAGGGGAGCTATGCCAACCCGAGAGGAAGCCCTGGGCACACAGAGCAAGCCCAGACCTGGGACGGGGCAATCTCTCCCTCCACCACCTGTAGCTCTGACAGCAACACGCTCAGATCTGAGCAGATGAGGGGAGCATTTGTCTGGCTGCGTATCTCATAGTCCCCCCAGGAGACAAGCAGTTGCTTACACAGTAACGCAACGCAGAGTGCCTACCAATGGCATTATGGCATCACTAGAGAAATGAGCCTGAACATAACTAGAGTATGTACCCATAACCAACAAGATTGGGCAGAGAAGGTCTGTGCCACTAATGGGCTGGCAACCTGGACTGTAAAAACGGAAAAGAACCTCAGGCTATCAAGTCCAACTCCCTCATTTACAGATGTCCCAAGTGAGGGGGACAGGACCTGCCCAAGGCAAGACCCCCATGCCTCCTGGAATGCAAGCCTCAAATGCCATCACCACCAGAAGAACCCGCCTGGACCAACACAGTGACTCCTCCAACCCGCCATGGCCCTCCATGCCTGCTTACATAGGTCCTGGCACTCTGGTCCTCAGCCTGGTAACACAACAATATCAGCTGCCAGAGGACAGAAAAAGCCTGAGGGCCTGAGGCTTTGAACCTCTGTCAGCTCACATGACAGGCATGGCCAGAAGCAAGCGTGTGGTGTCCAGGTCGGGCAGGAATGCAAATTAAAGGCTAAAGAAGCATTCTGGGCTCTGAGAGCCTCTGGTCCACCAATGGTCAGCATTCAGGCAGGTGGACAGCCTCCAAGACACGTACCTGGTGATGGAACAGCACCTCCTCTTCCAGCTGCACCCCACAGAATTCACATGGGATGATGATGCTGTCCTCTATGGAGGGTGAGCCAGTCAGGCCCATCAAAGACTCTAACTGGTCAGCCTGCTGCAGAAACTTCTGCAAGATGACATCAGGGTCCTCCACTCTGGGGGAAGAGCTGCTCGTACTGAGCGAAGGTAAGGCACACGAAGGATTACAGCTCGTCTGTCATTCAAAATGCACAGGTTAAAAAAAAAACACAGGTTAAGGAGAAAACTACATTCCTGAAACATTGTCTAGAAGAAATCAGAGTGCTTAGTATTGGGGGGGGAGGGAAACACAAGACTTTTAGGGAGCACATAAGTGGGACTATCATTCTCAGGAAGGTCTCCTGAAAGTTGTATTTCAACCAAGTCTACAAGGACATGCTGGGGATGCAGGGCTGAAGTCCACAC